TTAAGACTGGTGAACTTAAGTGGTCCAAACTTGAGTTGTAACTGAGAATAAGGAGCTACCAGTTATGGAGGATGTTTTCATAAGATTCATTCATTCATTAAAGGACTAAGTGAGCCCACAGTAGAACACAGGCAAGAAGAGATAACACATCTGCGTTCATATTCAGCCACATAAAACCCTGCCTACCCTTGGGGAAGCCCCATTTAAAATACAGAACTGAAAGCTGTCCCTGAAATCTACAGTTGGCAACAAATAAATATAATTCAGCCTTGGCCAGTGTGGCTCAGTTGGTTGGAGAATCATACTATAAACCAAAAGTTTGCAAGATCGATTCCTGGTCAGGGCACGTGCCTGGGTTATGGGTTCGGTCCCCAGTTGGACCATTTGCAAGTGGCAACAGGTTGCTGTTTCTCCCTCACATCCAGGATGTGAGCTGTTGCTACCTTTCTCCCTCCCTTCCCCTCTCTCTAAAAGTAGTGAAAAAATGTCCTCGAGTGAGGATAAAAATAATAAAAATAAATATATATAAAATTCAATACAGAAAAAATAACCAATGTTAGAAAACATTCCCAAAATTTAATTATTATAAGTACTCAATATATGACAAGCCTGGGAAACATGATGGGTAAGAGATTATCTGTGAAAACAAGTGTGGTTGTAACAGCTGGATATCTGTGTGGAAGAGAACTGACTTAGATCCATACCTTACCTTTTATATTATGATTGCCAGATGCATTAGAATAAAATAGGAAGTACGGGTGGGGTGAACAGACGGAGCAAGGACAGTTAAGATCGTGAAACTACTGTGTATGATATTGTAATGGTGGGTACATGTCATACATTTGTCAAACCCAGGATATGTACAACACCAAGTAGGAACCCTAATGGAAACTATGGACTATGGTGATAATGACAGCAGTGCAGGTTCATTGGTAACAAACTTATCACTCACTCTGCACTTGACGTTAGTGGAAGGTTGTGCGCGTGTGGGGACAGGAAGCTCTCTGTACTTTCTACTTGGTTTTGCTGTGGACATTGCTCTAAAATATCAAGTATATTTATTTAAAAAAAACAGAAATCAGAACCTTTGTTTCAAAATGAGAAGTAATACTATTGAAGAAATGTACATTTTTGTTAAGGACAAAATGGAGGAGCAGAAATTTTTTTTGACTGGAGGTATTTGTTTAAAAATGCAGAGTCATTAAAGAGGTGTGGAACAAACATATGAAGGTCTGTCCAGGAAGAATCCAGCCATGTAACATGAAAAATAGAGATACTTATTGAAGAAAACATAAGATACAAGAAACATTATACAAAAGACAATGATGCCTGAGTCCTCTTCAAAGCTATGACCTTCCTGAGGAAATCTGGTTCATTGGTAGCAGTTTGCATCAAGTCACTAGCAACTGCAGCACAATGTTCCTTCTGCTCTGGTAGAAGCCATGAAACGAATTTTGCCAGGACACGTTTCATGCCAAGATTCCGTGCCAATATCTCAACACAATAGTTTCTGGAATCCCCAGATCAGCTTCTAGTTCTCAAACTGTCAGTCACCCATCTTTGTTGATTGCAGCCTGTACACATTCAACATTCTCAGGTGTTCTGCTTGTCGCAGACCTTCCAGAACATGGACCACTTTCAACAGATTCTTGACCATCTTTGAAGCTTTTTGCCACACTTTTATTTGTGCTATACTCATTGCATCATCCCCCAAAGCCTTCTGAATCATCTGAATATGAATAGTTTCCATGGAGAAATGTTTAAGCTTAATGCAAATTTGATGCAGATTCAATGCTCTACTCAGTCATTTTGAATGTGACAGACACACAGTACATGTGCTCACTCAGTGGCATCTTCTGCCCCCACTGACTAGTACAGTGAAGTCGTCATTGTTCACACATGTGCATTCCAGTGCACTCTCCTCAGCTGCCAGTTTACAATGCTGCACAGACCATTCTTGTTACGCTAATAATGGTTGGACTTTTCTGAACAGACCTCGTATGTGATAACCAACAAAAACTTATTACTGTCCAAAATGCAGTTTTAAAGAAAAAACATATAAGGTTAATACGTTAAATAGTTCTATGGCCAACCACATATTTCTATAAGTAATATAAAGAATTATTTACTCATTAAAATGCATTTTCTCTTGCTTTCTAACTGATTTCCTTGTATGTAAACTATTTCCTTTGACCATTCATGAAGCAGAATCTAAGTATTTAGAAAATACTCCCTGGCTGGTGTAGCTCAGTGGATTGAGCACGGACTGGGAACCTAAGTGTCCCAGGTTCGATTCCCAGCCAGGGTACATTCCTGGGTTGTAGGCCATAACCCCCAGCAACCGCACATTGATGTTTCTCTCTCTCTCTCTCTCTCTCTCTCTCTCTCTCTCTCTCTCTCTCTCTCTCTTCCCTCTCTAAAAATAAATAAATAAATAAAATCTTTTTAAAAAAGAAAAGAAAATACTTAGGTAGAGAAAAAAGTAATCTTTACAAAAATCTTCACTATGAAAATTTGAAAATAGTCAAAGTGTTACTTATTTAGCACTTATGTACTAATACAGTGAAATCCCCCATAGCTGTTAAAATAGGAATGTGTGCCACATTGATACATGGAAAGGTGTTTTTAAAATATCATTAAGGGTCAAGTAAAATTTAATTTTGTTAGACTTTGGAGACAAAAAGTGATTACACAATGGCTCAATTGTGAACTAAAGGAACTATAGTTCCATTTACTAAAGATAAAAGAAGTTCTTTAAGGACATATGACACACCATATTCACTCATTCATTTGTCCAGTCATTAGCTACCAACCAGACTCCTGTGATGCTCTCCTGACCAACCAGTCTCCCTCCATTCTTGCTGTCTTGTCTTCCTCACGGCAGCCTTAGCGGCTCACCAGAAAAACAAACTGATGCTCCTTGCCTACTTCAAACTCCTTCGATTTTTTCACTTGATTACTTGATTCACCTTTTGTTGCCTGCAAGATAAAGTTCAAATTCCCTCCCTATGGCATATAATTCACTACAAATTAGCTCTTGCCTGCCTTACAGCTTCCTTCAAAGTTTATGTTCTAATAATTTGCAGTTGCTTCATGTTCCTTCAAGTGTATGTCAGCCTGTTTCATGATTCTGTGATATTGCTCATGCCTTTCCCTTTTCCTGACACATGCTTCCCACCTTTACCTATTTTGTGTCTATTCATCCTTCAAGACAGTTCATATATCATCCTCCAAGCTGATTTGGAGGCTCTCCTTGGGTTCTGTAGCATCCTATGCATGCTTTATCTCAGCAGCTACCACATCATAGTGAAATGATCTGTTTATAAATCTGCCTTCCCCATTGAACCACAAGCTTCTCTAGGGCAGAAACCATATTTAGTCATCTTGTGTACTCAGCCTGCATCTATTGCAGTGCCTGGAACATAGCAGGGACTTAGTAAATATAGTGAGTACTTAAGAAATAATCTTCAGGACTGCAGTAAAAACTAGTGAACTTCAAATATTCCATTTCCTATCATCCAGGAGCTCACGGCACATAGTACAAAAGAGAACATGAAAAATGACAAACATGAAAGCACTGTGAATGAAACGAGTCACACTGGGTCAGAGTCTGCTGTCTTTTTATACAAATTTACCCAGGAATTGCTTACCACTAACCACACTCATCTTTGAGAATGATGGACTATGGAATTTTCCTCTGTTAAAAACCTTCTGAGAAATAATCTATTTAAAGACAAGTAGGCAGAAGGAAGAGACAAGAGGTTATAGTGATCCATCCCTCTCTCCGTACACCCCAGCTCTGAGAGTTTTCGTGTGTCTTCTTCAGTGTGATTGCAAAAACCTTTTCAAGCTTGTGTTCTCTACGATCTGAAATAAGATCAGGGATTATTTTGTAAATAATGAGAGTGGTGGCAGGATCACTTCCTTCCTATTGCTGTTCTCAACCCTGTTTTATAATGTAAGCATATTAACAAATTTACTTTGTGTTATTAGGCAAGCATAGTGTTAGGATGTGAGATAAGATTATCTCAGTCAACCTTCATAACAAGCACATGAAGTAAGTACTATTATTAACCCCATTTTATAGGGGAGGATATTGAAACTTGAAGAAGTCAAGTAACTTGCCCAAGATCTTGTCTCTAGTAGGTATTAGAAGCAGGATTGAACCCTAGCCATCTGATTCCAGGGCTCTCAGTGTTGATGAATGCGTCATACCACCTGACCTGTAAATGGTAAAATACAATAAACACTCATTACAATTATTCCATCATAAATTGCTCTCAACTTCAGGTAAATGGCAATCCATGAGACTGAATGAGCCCTTGCTGGTGTGGTTCAGTGCACTGAGTGCCAGCCTGTAAACCAAAAGGTCACAGGTTCAATTCTCAGTCAGGGCACGTGCCTGGGTTGTGGGCCAGGTCCCCAGATGGGGCATGTGAGAGGCTACTGACCAATGTTTCTCTCCCTCTATTTCTTCCTTCCTTCCTTCCCATCTCTCTAAAAATAAATAAAAATTTTTAAAAAGACTGAATGAATCAAGTTGTCAGTTTTATTGTTGTTTTTTAATTATGGATACTTTGGGATGTGTAGAGTGTTATTAGTTACCATCCATTATAAGCTTTCTAATAGTAGAGTATTTTAAACTTTAAGAATGTTGAGAAAACATTATCCACATGTGTTCCTCCTTTGCAATTAATGAGTCTTTATTAACATATTTTAATATAGTTTTTTTTCTATTTGGCAGTATATCATTTTTCCAGTAAAAACAATCTTCATGTTGAAAGAAATCCTGAAAAATGCAACCTAAAGACTGAAGTGTTTGTTGTTTGTTTGTTTTTTTTTAACCTTACTTTTCTCCTTTTAGACTCCGGAAAGTTTCCTCATAAAGCTGACTTCCGTTCTGGAAATGATTTCTGTTTCCAACCATGTTGAGAATCCATTTCTTTCATCCCTTTTCTCTCTCTCTCTCTCTCTCTCTCTCTCTCTCTCTCTCTCTCTCTCTCCTTCTGCTTTCTTGGTAGTAGCGGGGAGGGAGGAGGGAGTGGACACAGGAAAGAGGGGAAAAGAGAAAACAGAAAAAAAAATTGCATGCCACGGTGTCTGAATATATCCTCTGCTTGTAGATACTTCCATCTGAGTTGCACTTTTGCCTTTTTATTTCTGTTTTTGGACACCTCTTTTATCATCCAGCCAACTGGAATAGACAAAGCACAGTTGGTGCCCTGAGCGACAGAACTCTGGTAGGGGGCTGGCTGTAAATTGACGTGGCATGGAAATTCTCCGCTAAGTTGTAGCAGCTTGCATGTTTCTCCTAAGATCAAGCCCAGCCTCCCGGAGCTGTAGCTTAATCATGATGGGCTCAACGACTGTTCAGAAAAATGGATAGAAAAAGTCTTCAGCTCCTTTCTTTGGACTCAGATGTTTTCTTTTTGAGTATCTATGGTTTAGCTGAAAAAATCAAAGCAGTTAAGTCTATAACTTTGTTTTTGCAGCTTGAACAACAGAATTTGCTGCTCTCCCTCCCCTGTCCTGCAATTTAATTCCTTACAGATTTTGCCATGGGGTGCGGACTTCGAAAGCTAGAAGACCCTGATGATAGCAGCCCTGGAAAAATATTTTCTACGCTGAAGAGACCGCAAGTGGAAACAAAGACAGAATTTGCTTACGAATATGTATTGCTGGATTTTACTTTACAAGGTACTTTTTTCTTCTATTTTATTTGTTAAATGAAATGTTTTGAGATAAGAGACTACTAGTATTTTAAGTGTTGGTTTGTGAATTTTTAGAGTGTTCTTCACAATAAGATTGTGTAATCAATCTAAAAATAATACTTTGTCTCTTAATTATATATTGAAAGATTTTGTTTTGTTTGCTTCATTTTTTGTAACATGGCTCATATGTACTTCATAAAATTAGAAAAACGGCTTTGAAATATTTCTTTCATTTTTAAATCAAATGCTTATTCGTGGAAGGGTACGTGGAAAATGTTTGATTTCCAGGCCAAATAGCCATAGCCTTAATGACAGTTTGTTTTGAAAAAGATCTGAAAGGCACAAGAAGGTAGCATGCAGGAAGTATTGCTTGCATCGTATGGAAGAGTATTTGCTAAGCCAATTCTGAGGTTTCCAACTATGTTAAATTTTGTGATTGTGTTAGTTGTTTGATATTTTTACCAAGCTAATCTTGAAGTTTGAACATACAGTTAAAAAAAAAAAAAAGGAAAGACAGTCTTCTGTAAGACACTTCCTTTGCTTGGTGCCCTGTCCCTAACAGAGAAACTCCCTGTTCCAGAAAGTTGGAAACACAAATAAACAAGCCCAGATGGCAGCCCTGTGGAAGGAACAGAGGTAGCTCGACTTCACAAATACTTTGCCTCAGTTTTGTTTTTGTTTTTGTTTTTTGAAACTTAAGAGTACCATAGAACTGCATAGCTAAAACTGAGTTTTTAAAAAGCAGAGCTGCATTTTTAATAATGGGACACTAAAAATGGAATTGGAGTGTCATGCTTGCTGTTAGAATTTCCAGCTACCCATAGTTTAAGTTCCTATTACAAAGTTATGCTTTTAATTGTAAAAAGCAACACATTTTATCAGTGAATAGAAAGATTATACTAAGCATATTATCATGTTGGATATTACCTTAGTTTCTTTTCAACTTAAACACAAATTCCCCCTTTTTTTGGTTTGCTCTGTGAACAGTGCATCTTTGTGCAAGAAACAGGAGCAGCCCATTTTTCTTTGTCAAAAACTGAGCTAGCCAGCAAGCAAACTCACTTCCAGGGACACACACAAGGTCTGCACGTGTATATACTTCTAACACACTCCCATTTCCATTTTTATCTAAGGCTAAGGCTACCAAAGGAAAAAGTCTATATTCTTAATTTTCTTTTTAATTATGAAAGTTAAAAGTCAATTAAGATAATGGTGATCAAAGAAGTAGTCAATCACATGACTTTTTTCTATACTTTTTCAAAAACTATTATTTGAGAAAATTTCAGTGATATAAGTCTATGTTTTCTCCGCTGACTGTCCTGGTTGATTGTTTTGTTCAGACTGATTTCTGTGAGTCCATAGGACACAAACACACACTCTCCTTAAACTCAAAACCTTGTCTATTCATACCCTGTAGGCCAGAGCCATTTTGATCTGCACTTTAAGATTTGCTGCACAATCCCTCATAGGATCATAGGGCTTAAAGTAATTTCACATTTTTTTCTGATTTATTTTCTCCGAACAATGTTAAAAATCTTAAGCAAATGTGTAAAAATGCAGTCATCCTTAAATCAGAAAGATCTACAGCTAAATTTTTTAGAAGTCATTTTGGTTTTTCTATTATCAAAAGTCCTTCTCTCTGTAAAAGGAATATAATTTCTACCTTCCACTCTAGGTGTTTGGGGGAGGTAACAGATTATTGCACTATAAAGCCTAAGTCTGGGCATAATTTGCAAATGTTAACCCACAAAATAGGCATATATTTTAAAGTTACACCTGGTTCCTATTTGGTCCAGGCGCCTTGTCTCCTTATGTCCCTTTTCTCTCCAGTTATTCCACATGTTTTTGTTTTATTTTGTGTCTGTCTTTGCCTCAGAAGCCGAGACACTGCATCAGCCCAACTCCACAACCACCTTCCTCTCCCATCCCTGACCTCCACCTGCCACTCCAGCATACAGGGAGTGAGTCGGGGGAGGGTGAACATGCCAGCCCTACATGTAGTGTGGGCTGTCTGTCCTGGGACTCCTGTAAGGAGTGCTGCACAGTGGCACCTCCTGCCTCCCAGAGGCCACTGTGCAGTGAGCAACCTTTCAGGAAACAAAATGGTCTGGTGACAGCTGTGCGTGCTCATGATGAGCCTGTCTCTTACCTCGTCTTCCTCTGTTTTTCCAAACACAGGACACGAGACACAGAGTAAAGTCCCAGTGGGACAAGAGGAGGAGACTCTGCAATTTCCAGTACCCTGTTATGGGAGCTTATTTACTTTGCATTCACCTATATTTTCTCTCTCTCTCTCACTCTCTCATTCTCCTCCCCTTCTCCCACGCTTGTTTTTTTTTGGGGGGGGGATGGGTGCATACTTTCAGGCATTATTTTCATCTGTATGAGCAAAGTAATAACATAGTCATAAAGCATATACGGCGCTGAAGTCAAAGTTCCCAGGTTCTGGATCTAGGCTCTTTCACACACAACTGTGTCAAGTTTGTAAACTTTGCTATATCTCAGTTTGCTCACCTGTAAACTGGGGGTTCTAATGATGCTTACATAAGAGAGTTATTCTAAGGATTCAGGGAGATAATATAAAATTATCTACTTGAAAAGGTATCTGGCACTTTAGTAAGCGCTTAATAAAAAGTTAACTATTATTATACCTCCTGGCTTTATGCCAAGTCTACCAACTGCAGTAGTGAGATTTCAGTACATTATTTGCAATAAATTTCTGGTTTAGTCTATATATGTATATTTATCAGAGTATGTGAATATATATATAAGTGTATTAAATATCATTTATTAATGAAAAGTTAAATTAACTCTGCAAATTATCCGAAAGAGTTAATATGCCTTCCTGTACAATCCCAGAAAAATTTTAAATAATGATAGCCTTAAGGATTTTTAGAACATGTATAGCTTTATGACTAAAAAGAGTTTCTACAGTACTAAAAACCCAACATATGGACAGATGGTAGGTTCCTTATTTGAATTTCTAGTAGAATTATGTAAAATACATCAAGTAAAATTTTGCTGGCTTCTAGCTTGCTTCCTTATTATTAGAATAAGAACCTCTCATTGTCCTTTATCATAATTGTTAACAGCAATAAGTACATATGATGTGTGCATTCTATGGAAGATGCTGATAAGTACGGGAAATACGAAGAAGAATAAGACATAATTTCAGCCCTCAAGTATGTTATATTCTAACTGGTCAAACTGAGCAAGATAGTGAACTGCTCAAGGTCAGGAACTACTATGTCTTAACAACCTTTGTATCTCTGTGTCTAGCACAGTGTTTGACACATGACCAGTAGCCAATAAGTGATGTCGAATTAATGGATGAAAAATTGTAATACATGAGGCACAAGGTATCAGGAAAAGGAAGTCCATTTTAAATATGATTAGTTATAATTTCAAATTAGGACATTAACTGACCCTTAAGAAAAGTAGGGCTTAGGTAATCAGAAAAAGACTGAGATTGAGGCACGTTGAAGGGCTATTGAATAGAGCAGGGAGCTAAGGGAGGTTTTGTAGGGGAGAAGCAGGAAGTAAATGGAAATAAGTGGAGTAGGGAAAGCTCTGGCTTGTCTGAGGAGTGATTCCCTGATGCTGTGGGGAATAAATAGCTGTAAAGGCACTTGAAGAAGAATTTGTTGGATACAGAAAAGTGCGTTTAGAAGATGCATGTGAGATTGCAATGGGGAGAGATAGGAGGTAGGAGAAATGTTAGAAGACTGATTGCAATGGTGCAGGCTCATCAAGGAGGACCTGCACATGAGGGGCAGCAATAAGGATGGACTGACTGCAAGGGGTAAATGTAACAGACAGTATGAGGGAGGAACTTAGCCTGTGGCTGGCTGCACATGAAGGGACAGAAGAATGAGGAATCCGGGATAACTTCCCGGTTCTGAGCCTGAGTAGCTGTGGAAATAATGATGCCTCGTACAGTAGGAGGAACGTCCCCAAAAGAGCCCGCACGTGGTGAAAGAGCAATTCCATTACAGGCATGTTGCATTTGAGGTGGTCAGGGAACATCCTGGCAGAAACAGTTACAGATGCCAGGCTGGAAGTGATTTCCAGGAAGAACTGAAATAAAGTCTTAAAAAGAGAGGATGTGGGCAGAACACAAGTGTCTTGGGCTGAGTCGTCAGGTGTATTCAGCCATATTGAGCACAACTGAACAGAATGGCGGAGAATGAATGGATAACACCAAAAATACAGAGAGAGGGATGGTTCCCAAAACAAGAAGTGGTCAGTAATTTTAAATACTAGACAACTTTCACAAAGAATGAAGATGCAGCACTAAAGAGAATGCATACAAAAACCAACAAGTGATAAATAAGGGATCAGAAATGAGGGATGGAGGAGAGGAGGGAGGAAGGAATAAAGGCAGAATGAAAGGAAGGAAGGGTCCGGCTAATTTTTTTTATTTCTGTCTGAATTTAATAAGTTCTTGGGCATTTCCTCAAGCAGTAAAAAGATTTTCAAATATAAAGTACTACATAAAACAAATTAATAATAAAAATGACTAAATTTACTCAAGAAGCAACATAATCTTTATCATGGTGCCTAGCCTAAATTCCTAACAGATGAAAAAACTATATAAACAGTTCCTTTTTTTGAAATGGTGAGTTTGGTTTATTAATAATTAATAAACCCTCATAAATTCAGACTATTATGGAAGAGAAAGATCCCATTCTGAACTGGAAGAGGAGAAAATATCTGATAATTGCATGCAGTTGACCCACTTAAATAGCTATTGATTTTGGGAGAAAAAGCATATACATTTCATTGACAATCTATATTATTTTTTTCCTATGCATATATGCATCTTATGTCTGGTTGGACATATATTCATTGTTTGAAGTCACACTTAGTGAGCATATACAAAGCTAAGAGCTAGGCTATGAAGATAAATAGAGCCTAGTCCCTGTGCTCCACGAACTTGCATCCTGAGCATCCTACTGAGAGACTCCAATAAACAAGCCTCCAGTT